TCATTACATTCAAGTACATCTCATGGGTCTTCGGATCTCTCTGCTGAGTATCTTGGTCTTCACATTCCACTATGACATACCTTAAAAACATGTTAGGTCATTCATACAGATGGGAAATGAAACTCAGGTTTATTCTGTAAATATTTATGCCTTTCCATTAAAGTAGATTAATTCACATTTGCAAAAATAACTAAGGGAAGTAACAAAACATTTCATCACCACTCTTTTAAAAGTCAAAAATTAAGGAACAACATACATAACTGTCTAAAAGGAAAATTAATAACAGTAATGCCTTAATTTGTACAATACTTTAGATTTTCCAAAGGTTTTGGCATCAAAACGAGCATTTTCTCCTAATGCTTTATGACGCAGATAGAGCATTTACACCTTCAAAAATCAACTAAGCTCACAAATCTACTCATGAACAATAATACTTTCAAAATCTATGTAATACTTTTTGTACTACATAAGGCACTCTTATTCTGAGTTACTCTGAAACTTTTCTCAACATACATCTGAGAGGTAAATGAAAACCTTAATTTAATTTTTCCTTTCCTATCCAACTCCCCCATGTCTTAAAATTCCATATATAATCTTCAATCTTTCCATCATAAAATTGTGGTTTTAGAGAGTTAAAAAATTATAAATACATTCTTAAACACGAACTGTTCATACAACTCATATAATCATATAAATAATGATCTGGATTAGATCTTACAGGTTGTCTATTCCAGTGTTTCTACCTGTTCTGAATGGAACAAGCCAGACTAAGAAACACATTTTATGTCACAGCCACATGTGTGAACACAGATGCATAAAACTGGAAAAAAAGGTTCCATAAAGCAATACTCTATAAGCAATATGTCAATATTCGTTACTCTGTTCTATTTCATTTTTCTTTAAATAACAAATGCTAGATTGCGAGCCTTTAAATTGATTTCAATGGATTATGATGTATAGTTTGAAACCCGCTTGTTTCATCGATAGCAAGACTTAGAAGGGCTGTGTCTTGCCCATGGTGGCACAATTAGTTAACTGAAGAGCTGAAATCGGAACCCTGGCCTTTGGGCTCCTAGGCCACAATTCTTTCTATTTACTAAGTTTGCTCTCACACTGTTTTATCTTTAAAAACCACATGAAACTTTTCAACCTCTTTAACTGATGGTGTTTCAGAAATCTCAAGTCACAGCTACTAATTATTTTTCTTTCGACTATTTTCGGGAAAGAGAATATTTAGGTAAACATCATGAGAGCACAGAGCTTATCTGTCTTGTCTTGTCTTGTTTGCACTGTACCCTCAGCACTTCCATGCCTGACTCATAAAACTCAATATATTATTGTTGAATGAATGAGCGACTCCCGTCTCAAAGATTTAATAACTTATCATCTCAATGTGGACAATTCTCAAGTATGAATATATACACCTATATCCCTCTGTTCACATCTAGGGTCTAATTTTGTGTTTCATTATGTGGCCTGCTTTTACATTCATCTACTCTTAATTTTCAAGCAGCAGATCCCCTTTTCAAGACACTGCTTGTCATTTTTAACTGAACATGTGTAAAATTAAACTTATCACACTAAATGAGCTATTTTTCTCAATTAAGGGTACTTTTAATATTCCATAGATTGGCACTGGAAATTCTCATGTAGCAAGGTTTGCAAACTCCAGTTTTCTCAAAAGATAGGCAGGAAACATAAATGACTGAATCACTGGAATATAAGAAAAAGGCACTGAGGTTGTAACCCAACCAGAGTGCACAGGTGCTATCTAAAACTATCACTGGTAGAAAGAGAAAGAAAAATATGATGTCATTCATATGTGGAATCTAAAAAAAAAAAAGATGACAAATGAACTTAAATATAAAACAGAAACAGAGATACAGACTCACAGACATAGAATACTGACTTGTGGTTGCCGGGGCGGGCAGTGGGTGGAAGGGACAGACTGGGAGTTTGACATCTGTAGATACTGACAGGTATATATAGAATAGATTAACAAGTTTGTGCTGCACAGCATAGAGAAATATATTCAAGATCTTGCAATAGTTCACGGTGAAAAAGAATATGAAAATGAATATATATATACTCATGTATGACTGAAGAATTGTGCTGCACACCAGAAATTGACACAACATTGTCAACTGACTATAACTCGATTAAAAAAATAAAAAATTATAAAAAATAATAAAACTATCACCGGCACTTTGTGTTTAATTTGCAGTCTGTGCATCTCCAGCCAAACCTAGCTCACCGTCCCCCTCTTCAAATACCTAGACTTAATTACTCACCGGGCCCTACTGATTTTTTCCTGCGAAATGCCTCTTACGGTCATCCTGTACTACCAGCCAGCTCCATCTGGAGTCAACCAGCAGATTCTTCTTACCTGGCCTCTCCAACTCTAAAAACAAACCCCCTTTGATCGATACAATTATCCTACTGGATGGCTCTGTTCTAGATGAATAAGCCGAGAACAGCTCAGATAAACTCATATTTTTCCTACTCACAATACTCCAGGATGTTTGGTCATTTCACGACATCACCTAAGACTGTGATTCTAAACTATAAAACTGTCAGTACCGTTCAAATCCAATCTACACTCTTCTAACCCTATGAAGCCCCTGACGGTCTCCATCACCTCGGTATATTCATTGTCTTTTTCCGTGTTTATACAGCAAACGCATTTCTAAAGGAGCAACGCAGAAGCCCACAACATACAGGTGCCACTGTTTTGTGCAGCTCTCCTTGAGCACCAAGCAAACACAGCGGCTGCTGCTACGTCATAAAGGTCACATATCAACCACCTCTCAAAGGCACCTCTGATGCAAAGGCAAAGTCCATCTAAACGAAAAATGACACCATCACCTCCAAAATGAAGGACAAATTTAGATCAAACCTAGAAGACCTAGACTGGAGTCACTGCTGAACTCTCCTCTCATAGTACCAAGCAGATTCTACAAAGCACTCCAAGGTATTTCCTTGAAATCTGTCACCTTCAAGGAGAAATGCAGCCAAAATGGCCCACTGTATGATGACATCAGGGGTCTACCTGTTTCCTGGCTGTTTCATTTTTGTGGGGTAAATAACCTTTATCACCTTGAAAGGTCTTAAAAGTTATAGAAAAACAGGTCACAGCATCCAAAGTTTACTTTCAATTTCAACATACTGGAGCAGCTGTAAAAATAAAACACCAGAACGATTTATAGATCCTGATGCCCAACACTTTACAGACTGGAGACTGTAACTCCCCTCTGCAGTTTAAAAGGTTGCACTATTCATTTTAAATGATTGTCTGTACTGCCATAGGCCCCTAAGGATGCAACTAAAGCAGGAATGCCGTTTAAATCAATGGAAAGGAAGCAAATGAAAAAGAAAATTCAAACTGTTCAACAGGAAATAGCACAATCAATTAAAATTTATATTTTAATACATTTGTTATAAAAGAGGAAGCTTAGACCGAGAGGCATATAAATTGTTCCATGTGATTAATATTTTTATATTATCCTGTCCATGTTCAAAGGAAGAGAATGATTCTTTTAAGTCAACGACTTGAAATTATTTCCTGTATTTTACCCTACGATCACAAAAGCGGTGTCTACCAAAGTCAGAAGTCCACATCAGTAGCTTTGGTCCCCTGTGGGTATTTCTGAATATGTAATACGCAGACTGTAAATATGGGGAAGGCAATGACACCTCTGAGAACGAAGAGACACAGCACATGCTATTGCTTCAGTGAGTCACACACAAATCAGATCTGAGTCTGATGGAATGCTTGTAAGACTGGGAGCTAGGCGGGCACTTTGTTTATCACTGATGGAGAAAACAAAAGTCATCTTTCTGAACAGAAACTGTTGCCTTGTTGGAAACTGTTCATCTAATAGTGTTCCTACTGTTCAGCTGCGGTCAGAATGGTTTGAAAACTCTTCCTACCTGAAATAAGCTGTCAAAGAGTCTATCAGGACTAATTTCAAATTTTACAATGACATTCGGTCTACAGTCAAATCCAAAGAATATACAATTTTAAACACCACATAATCAACATATGTACACACAGCTCTTATAACAGTGACTACTCTAGACTATAAATTGTAAGCCAGAGAAAACTTTCCATGAGCACCACAAGGAAAGAAATGTATTCATAAAGGAATTCTTGGTAAATGATTCAAAAGTACATAAAACCTTAATTTTGAATACCTAAGAAGCATACAAGTACTTACTCAAACCTCAGCACAATCCCCCACACATTTAAAAAAAATTCCTTTGAATTATTTACCTAGATTTTTGTGAGGAACTATTTTTCCATAACACTAGTGAGTAGATGGACATACAAGAATTCATGTTGGAATACGGCTAACAGGGAGCAAGAGTTTACATTGAAAGAAAAGAGTAGCTGTTTGGTAAGATGAGAATTTCTAAGTTAACTTTCAAAGTAAAAATGATGACTGGCAACTAACCAAAACATTTTGTGTGTATACCTTCAAGGCCACATTGAAAGTTACTGTGAGGGAATGAGGTCTTATGAATATTACATTAAATTGATAAAGTAAAAGCAAGAGACTATGTTTCTTCTCACTACCAAGGCCACCGGGGGAAGGGAAAAAAAAATCACAGATTTCAAAGG